AGAGGGTGTCAAGAACCAGGAACATATATACACATGTGGTGGCAATGTAAATATGTAAATAATTTTTGGGAGAAAGTATTTAGAGAAATAGAAACTATAATGAATATAAAATTAGATAAAAGTCCTAGTATAGCATTACTATCACTATATAACGATAAGCAATTGAAAAAGGAGGATAAAGAAGCGATAACAAACTTACTAACTATAGCAAGACTGCTTATAGCAAGGAATTGGAAAAAAGAAATGAATATACAAATAGAGGAGTGGTATAAAGAAGCATGGAAAATAGCAATAAATGATAAATTGACATGTATATTAAAGGTTAAAAAAGGTATATGGAAACAAAGCGATTTTGATGCTGTATGGGGAAGATTTGTGGTAAATGGATTAAAAAATAAGGAAGGAAAATTACTGTCACAAGAAGAAATGAAATTTTGGACAGATGAAATGTAAGAATGGTGGCTTGAAATGGGTGGAGGGGAGCACTGTGGTGAAAAAGGGGGAAAAAAATGAGAAAAAGGGGGAGAAATGTCAGAGTAAAATAATAAAATAACATGTTAAAGAGGTTGATGTACAAAATGTAATAGTATGTAATAAAGTGATAAATCAATAAAAAAATTTATTAAAAAAAAAAAACACTAAAAGACGAACTAAAACCACACCTAAAGGAAATCATGAACCAAATACTACATGGCAAGAAAATGCCCAGCTCATGGAAAACAGCCAACATAACCTTAGTACACAAAGAAAATTCCGACCCAACGTCCACAAAAAATTACAGACCCATATCGCTCCTGAACGTCGACTACAAAATCTTCACTAACATCATGTTCAATACATATTTTGTTATGGTTACTAGGGGAAATAGTTGCAACTTTACAGACAAATAATCCTAGAGTTAATTTTCCTTCATGCTTGCTGAAGATATATATTAAATTGGTGTGCAACAAAGGCCATACAGAGTCCCAAACATAAGGTTCATTTGCTGTGTCTGAAATGCTAGAAATGCTTATGCCAAAGGCAGCTCCCAACCCCTGCACTCTCTGCAATCTTCTGGCTCACACGTCTTTCCTGAAAAAGCACGTATCCCCTTTTGGGCTTTTTTTTTTTTTGCCAAATCAGACATGATTTCCAGTCATTGCCTGTTGGGATACCCTTAAAATGTTGAACAACTGTCCCCTATAGCCCCTATAGACCAACTGCAAAGAGGAGAGGGGCTATTTGGCCTTCTTTTCTCCACAGGCTGTAGGATCTCATGTAGCAGATAAAGTCAGCAAAGCCGCTTTTGTTTCTGTGTTTCAGCCGGAAAGTGGCTGTTCCTTTATATTTTTCCAAGATTAGGGAAAGGGCATTATAGGTGTGCAGGAGGTAAGGGAACCCAAGTAACTACATTTGTGGTCGCTTTAAGTTGTTTTGGAAGATAATGCCCAGTCATTTTTTAAAAAGGAATTTTGAGAAAGCGGTGGCCTCTTTGGGGAGCTTATGGGGCTACAAAATGGATTTTGGAGGCTGCCTGCAACTTGTGAACAACAGTTTTCATAAAAACAAAAATTAAGAAATGATATAATAAGACAAGCATAAGATATATATGTGTATGAATGGAAGGAGAGAATAGGAAGTTGATTGAAGGCGTGTAGAACACCTTTAAACAGCTGCATCCAGTACATCCCACGAGCTCTTCTTTTGAGAGATTGATAATGATTGGGCATCCGTAGCACCTTTATTAGGTATGGCTAATTTTCTCACTCTTCCCAAGTAAAGTATGGAATGGTGAGACTGGTTAGTTGGATGCAGCGACTGAAGCTCCCAAAACACTGTCAGGCAGCAATGTTCACATCAGTGCTGTATCTCTTGATCCAGAGGAGAGGTGGATAAAGAGGTAGGGCTGCTTGTCAGTGCTGATGCCAAATAGTCTCCAACCTTACTCCTAGCTGGCATCTGCCAGAAGGATCACTGTTTAATCAGTTAGATTTAAGATTGGGCACAAGACTGGCCACTCAATATATCTGAAAGAAGACAGCACATACATGCCATGGAAAACAGAATTTACCAGAAAAATGTGGATGTGTGATCTACATTCATGAAATTCCTTAGAGAATATGCACTTAAAAGATATTCCATTTCTTCCTGCTTGCATCTTAATTGGTTTAGAATATGTAGAAAGTTTTCAAGAGGTGGGGATGTATAAAAGGAGCTAATAATGAATATGTTGTTGCTGCTCAAAATAATTTGGATTGATGTTATCAATGCACGTAGAAACCAAGCATTTATTTTTTAAAACCGATGTAATTTGTTGTGACAGATAAATCAGGATTATAGAAATAGAATCAGTTGTGCTTCAGTTACACTACAGACTACTTACGTTACCTTGAGTCCTAGTTTTGCCATGATTTAAAGAAGCAGAGCAATAAAAATTATCACCCTATGATGTTAGGAGGGATAAAGTACATTTGATTGTGCATAATTAAAACAAATTCTTCACATGGGCATACTATAAAGTTTAAATCTGAATTAGGTGAATTAATCTTATTTATTTATTTAAAAGTTTTCTATACCGATTTTCTCACCTCCAAGAGGGACTCAGATCTGGTTCACAACATGTGTTCATATACAAAAATACAAACCACACAATGTATTATCATTACACAATTAAAAACATATTACAATACAACATCGTCATCATCACACTTACACAGCCACGTTGTCAAAACATTCATGGTCATAATTCACATCTTGATGTACAATAAAATAATATAAAATATTAAATCAACATGCAGCACCATTGTAATTTGATATTACCAGTGTGCTGTTCTGCAAATGTGGAAAAAAGCCTCATAACATTTTCCATATAATTTTAGACTATTGAATTCCAGAATTAATTGTTTCATTTTCAGTGATTTAAATATAAAATAGAAAGCTTTTTTAAAAGCTATTTTATTTATTTTTTTACAGATTGAAAGCGGAGCAGTCTGGAAGCAAGTGTATCAGGACCTTGGAATTCCTGTCTTGAACTCTGCGGCTGGATATAATGTTAAATGTGCTTACAAAAAGTAAATAATTCTGCATTTATGATATTTAGTGCTGCATTTGGACTTTCAAAAATGGGGTTTTCACCCCCATCATTTCAAGCTCTTCTCCTTAAAGTAAATAGTTCAATAGCTGTCAAGTCAAGATGATAGTTGCTATATTAGTTCAGAGCATGATATGAATTCATGGCATTTGGAAATCTTATTAATTTCTGTCAGTGTTACTTTCATATTATTAGGATGATCAGCCTAAATACAGCTGCTTTGCAAATATTTTTATATAAATAAGTTACTTTTTTGGCATTCACATAGTATCAAGTTTTTAACAGAACGACAGCTATTCCTGTTTAGAAAATTAATTCAGATCATAAACATGAATTTGTCTCATTAAAAATGACTAATTAACTTCTGCATGTTGCTGTCATCTTCTAGATACCTTTATGGCTTTGAAGAATACTGTACATCAGCTAATGTTGAGTTTAAAATGGAGCTCCCAGAGAAAATAACAAGCAAATCTTGTAAGGACCATGAAAAAGATGCGAAAAAGCACGAAGAACCTGAGCTAAATGTAAATGAAATAAAGGTGGAAATTGAAGAAAAGGATGATGAAATAACGACTGTGAAACAGCATATTGCAACAACTGAGAATGAAAGTGAAAGAAAAGACAATGACAAATCTTCTATGGTAAGAATTGACATTTTTTACAAGATGTTTCATTATATTCTAAATTGTCAAGGTGAAGAAAAATTTCTACTTAGGCTAAAATAAAATGCCAAGGTCACACTGGAACTAACGAGAGCAGTCATCCCATAGTGAATAGCAACTGTGTCCCTCCTTGTCTTCAGTTAGGATTATGGCAGAGGGTCAAATCCCTCTTTTAAAAGAAGGAATCACGCCATTAGTATTAGTATTATGAGATAAAACACAAGAGGCAGCATGATGTGATGGTTGGAGTCTTGGACTAGGACCTGGAGACTAGGATTCAAATTCATGTCTTAGCCGTGGAAATCTGTTATGTGACCTTGGGTTCCCAATCTCAAAAGCAAGGGCAAATTCTCTCTGAACAACTTACGTTCACTTTGAGTCGCCATACACCGGAAATGTCTTAAAGGCACACAACAACAACAAACACAAAATGCATGCACATATAAAAATAACTGTATTCACTTTCAAAGGAACAGAACAAAAATCATTTTGGATTAGATCATAAAGTTGTCTAGTCCAGTAAGTCCAGTAGTTCTGTACTGGGAACAATGCATAGATACCATGTTTTATAGCCATCAATGGCTAATCTTCATGAATTTGTCAAAGCCCAGTTTAAAACGGTAACAGTTAGCAGTCATCTCTCTCTCCTATGGTTGTGAATTCCATGGTGTATGTCATATGAAAAGGTACTTCTTTTTGCTCCCTGGCATAATCCTAATTTTTCCGTACTTGAACCCAAGCCCATTAGTATATATTTGGCTAAAATTCCCTTTTCCATAGTTTTGCATTTATAAAATGACATTTATATTTGAATTTACTCTTGCTTATTTTGAAGGTGTTTAGATTTGATGCAGTGACGGGGATCAATGGAAGATTTTTTTCCTCTAGTATTTATCTAGTATTCTAGCTCTATTTTCTTCAAACTATTTATGAGAAGCAGAATTTTAAAATATGAAAATATTTGGGGAGATGTGGGATTACATTTCATTGAAGATATGCAATGGCATGTTACACTTCCTAAACACTTATTCAAATCATAGAATGGTTATTTGATAACCTCAAATAATAGAAAGTATTGGAATGATCATGTTAGTGCTAGCAGACATCTTTCTAAAACAAGAAATGGTTTGTCCTTTCATTAGTACGTTCCACACACTAAAAGAACTTGACTTTAATAGTGATACAATGGCTGCTGCATTTAATTACACAGTTTTGTATTAATTGAAATTATACAGTTTAATGAAACTTTGAAATGTTTTGCTATTGTATAATTATATTATAAATATAGTTATTTTCTTAGATTTTCCATCCAGAAGTAGGCATTTTGCATTATAAAAATAGAATACATTCTATTTAAAAGTCCATATGAAATCTTCCTTCTTAAAAGTACAATACTGTTTCTCTTTTCAAGTTCAATTTTATTCCTGTTTTCTCATCCGGAAAAACATAGTATATATTCAGATTTTAAAGGCTCAGTCCTGGACTCACTTATCTGTTGAACTGAGGCAGACTTAGCTTTGAACCAGAAGTGTGTAAGATGGGCTGTTAGGGCGCAGAAGCTTAAAACTTTGTAAATAACACTGAGTCTATTATTATTTTTAAAAGATATAAACATGAAGCACAGTTTTATGTGCAATATAAATGCATGTCTCACTTATAAAGTAAAATTAGATTTTCTGAACAATTTTTCCCTACAGTTTCAAAATGTCATGCAGTCTATACATTTCTGTTTACACAACAAGCTTAAGTTCTTGCTTTACTCAGATCCCGTGATGATGTTAGGCTGCTACCTTCTTCCTTAGAAGTAGGCCTGCTTGTGGGTACATTTCCTACCTGGTTCTCCAAAAAGAAAATACTGAGCTACAAGCAGATTTACTTAATGATATATATGTAGCAAAGCAATATACAAGGCTGTAGAGGAAGAATGTTCCAGTCCCCCCACTAGCACCTGTTCCTGTTGTTGTTGTTTTTTTTGGGGGGGGGGGGGCTTGGAAATAGAGTCATAATAGTAAAAATTGCCCTATAATTTTTTTTCTGTTCCTGGTTTGAAAGCATTATTCCTGTTTAATTGTGCAGTACTTACTTTGAAAGTAGTTGTTATACTCATTAACTTTGTTTTTGTGGCTGCCACAAACTCTATTGAATTGGTTGAGGCTTGAATCACTGAAAAACTATAGCAAAATGTGCTGCAAGATTTTGCATTTTAATAAACATTTTCCAAGTGTTTAGGATAGAACCAATTCGGAAATGATACGTATAACCCAGGAACAAAAATCGTGTTACTTAGTGTTATTCGTGGTACAGTGTTCAAAGCACCATCTGCATATTGGACTCAACCAGTTAACATGGGTGACACAGAAGTATCATAATGACCACTAAAAATTCTGTAATAATAGTGACCTTTAGCAATGTTTTATTTCTTGTAGGGAAACATAAAGGGCTTTCAGGAACCTCACGAAGATCAAGAAAATGAATTACGAATAAATAAAACAGAGGATGAAGCTAATATGGAATATAAAGATGCTGAGAAGAATGAAGACCTGGAGAATCAGGATGTCAATCTAGAAACAGAAGAGGGGGAGAAATCAAAGTAAGAGCCTTTTATTTTAATTTTGGTTTCATAAAGAAAATAATACTGGATTTCAGATTAGTTAGTTTTGATTACCAGCTGATTTAACCTAAAAATAATTTATGGTCTAGCATTTTCAGTCAGAATGCTCAAGGCTCCTACTGGATACCTATGGGCACATCTAAACTCTCTGCTTAGATCAGTTTCAAATTGGTATTGAAGGAAAGTGTTGTCATTGTGCAAATGGTTACATAGGGAATCCTGCATCCAGTTTGAGGCCCATATAGTAACTATACAAACCACAGAGCACTGATGTGCATTAAGGACTTCCTTTTTTGAGCTTTCGGTGTTTTAAAGCTAGCTTCAAACGGCATTAAATGATCAGTGTATATGGGGCCCTAATCTGTCAGTCCGATTCATCTGAATGCATTCATTCTAAAGGCTTCAGAGTAGTTAACTGAGAGTAGCAGTGAAAGGGAAAAGAAGAAATAAAAGATAAATAAGAAAGTTGGAGTGACTAGGGCCTGTAGGGAGAGAGAACAGAAAGTTGATAGAAAAATATATTGGGGAAAAAGTGTGGTGAGCAAAGTCATTTGCAGAAAAAGAGTAGAGAGGCTGAAACCAAAATATGTAGAGGTAAGTAGAGAAAAGTGTGTGTGTAAAAATTAGAAATGTTAGATCTGTATTGTAGAGCACTGGAATATGACAGGAAAACTGTCCTTTCAGTTCACACCATATTAGCATGGTGTCATTTTCCCCATACCATTGTGGATTGATTTAAGAACAGTTATTATATGTGGAAGTTAAAAAAGAAAGCTGTTTCCACTGATTCCACCGGAAAGGAAAATACACTAATCTGAATGTAGAATGACATTCTGTAATGTTTGCTGTCATTTAAACTGTCAACATCTGTAGATCTAACATAATTGTTTTTAAAGTACCTGGTCAAGCAGTTTTATTGATTCTCCCAGATCTTGCCCTGCTTCTTTTGAGAACAGATCTCAGTAGATGAAACATTCATTCCTAGTTTCTGAGTTGCCAGAGGCTGTTAGAGTCTAGTTTCCAAAGTCTCTCACCACTGATTCGACCACTGGCTGTGATTTCCAAAACTGGAAGTTCAACAACCTAGATTTAAGATCCAGTGGTTGATATGAAATCGTTATTTTTGCTGTTCCATCTCTGTAATAAGCACTATAGTGTTTTCAGTCTAGAAGTCATGTGGCTGAATCAATATTTGCCACTGTCTTGAGGGGCAGGTCTATCTGAAAAACTGGTGCATGGAAGCATTTAGGTGCTTTTTAGATAGAAGGATCATTGGGTAATCAATTTTGTATAGAACAAATCAAGCTACTAACATCGAAAATGTAAATGTACATGTATGTTATTTATATTGGTTTATTGTTTTCTGATTATTGAGTTTTGATCCTGATGTGTGAATGCTTATTTATTTTGAATTAATCTTTCAGATATTTATTTTTGTAAGGAGAGGGAGGAGGCAAATTCTTTGAGCTGATATATATATATATATCACTTCATATGTCAGAGCTATTACTTGTGACTTATATCATAGGTTGTCCCTATCTTAGATTTCTGTATTTGACTAGTGAAAATTATGTTTGATACTATCTGTTCAGTGTTGCATGGTGTTTTGTTGTTGGAAACATAGGTCTAAGGTTGTACCAAGGAGCATCTAGGAATGAAGGACAAATTAAGGGGGCGAAATAACTTATGAAAGCAACTGAAATGGTCTATACTTGAGGAGCACTTTGGAAAATTGTGTTAGAGGGGCATATAATATTTTTTACTAAAGAAGCAACCATTACAATTAATCTACAGGGTGTGTGTGTTTGTGCCTTCAAGTTGCCTGTCAATTTTTGGCAGCCCCATGAATTTCATCTGGTTTCCCTGGGCAAGGAATTCTCAAAGCCAGTTCTGTACTCTTAAATATAGCCTCTACAGCACATGATATTCATTGGCAGTCTTACATCCGTTAAAAGTAGTAATATACTTTCATTCCGTTAGAAGTTCCTCCTGTATTCCCAATTCTTTTTGCTCTGTCTGGGGTGAGCAAACCATGGTTCATTGCCTCATGTGAATCTACAGTATTATATGCTTTATATATAGTAAAGGTTTTCTTGTTAATTCTGTTAAACAGCTAGTGTTTTTTATGTTGAAGTACATTTCCAGTTATCACAGTTAGCCACTGGAAACAAAACTTGATCTCTATAATAGTTGTGTAAGCTTTGGTTGCCACTTCCTTGATTTGGGACATAGGACCAAGGAAAACCCTAAGTCTGTAACCCTCTTCATTGTGACATTTATATGAAAATCGGTGGTATTGTATGCTTTTTAACATCTGATGTGATCAAGGATCTGTAACAATCAAGTTTCATATTGCCAGAGGCATTAATAATTTGTATTTGAACCTACGACCTTGCAATGTTAGCTAGCTTGTTTTTAGTTGAAATGCACATCTACAGTTGTACTGCATCACTTCCATGGCCTGATAAGATCATTAGTACTTTGAGTTGTCACAGTAGCTTTCAGCCAGATTAAAATGTCCTGAATGTTAAATAGAAAATAGGAAAAAAAATCTAATAATCTTTTGGTTCTGTAATGATCATACTGTTGAAGAACAAGGGCTGACATATTAAGCTTGTGAGTCTGTATGTCTTTTGTATCAGGATCACAGAAAGGTGTATTTAAAATAAAAATTATGTTCTACTTCGGCTAAGAGCTTTTAGCCAAAGTAAAACATCATTATAGGACCCAGGGAGCTATTAGATCCATCTGGCCTACTTATCAACTCTGAGTGGCATTTCAGGACCTTGGGCAGGATTCTTTTTCAGCCCTACATGAAGATCCTCAGTATTCCCTTTTGGTCTGCCATTCAAGAACTAACTATAACCACTACCATTGCTGTCACCATCACAAGCTGATATGATGATCAGGGCATGGGAGCGTGGCTGCTCCTTCCCCTTGGAATCTAGCAGCACCTCTCGTTTTTTGTCTTGGCAAATACATTTTTGTTCCACCAGGTTTTTAAGGAGTAACTGCTTGCAGGGAGCCTTTTTAATGGCGTGTGTGTTCTACTTTAACTTTTGTATGCTATTAAATCATTTTATATCATGTGTATCTATGGTTTCAATGTGTTTTTGATTGTGTTCTAAATTATATTGTTCAGTTTTGGGCCATTTTTTTGTGTGCTGCCTTGAGTCGCACTCTGGGAGAAAAAGGACATATAAATGAAACAAATAACATAGCATAACATAACATATATGTGTGACTTTGCTAAGCTCTTGAAAACAGATAAAATTGATTGTGGGCAGGGTAGTGTTGTGGAGGAGTGTGTGTTTTGTTTCTAGGTTTTGTCTTTTAGATCACTAGTGCCATTTTTGTACATGGTTTTATGGTGCAGCTTTGGCAGACAAGAACTCAAATACATTGAGAAGGTGAGGCCAGCTTTGTATTATGATTCAAATCCATTATTTGAAAGATACCAGTATTCACTTGTGGACAAGTACATTCTGCATTCTAAAGTGATTATGGAGTTGCTGGGGTTTTGTGAAATCACATACTATTAATATATTAAAAGGTAATTGTTGATGTTTATGTTTGGCCGATACAGAATTATTCATATTCTGTATTCATCGATATAGTATTTGAAGACTAGAAAGTAAACTATCACTACTTGTTTTGTTGCATTGTACATTTAACATGGGATATGAAACTTGATGTTTATATGCTATTCTGCTGTTCTCTGTTCCACTGTCCTCTAAGCTGTCATGATTCCAAAAATACATTGTAATCATTATAGAAGTTTCAAAATAATGTTTACACCACAGATTCAGTACTTGTGTTCTCCCTATTTTGATGGGGTTTTCTCTGTTCACCAAGGTTTATTAAATTCTAGTGTATCTAGCATATCAAAACTTATTATGACTGATTATGACCCACAGATTTGTCTTTAGTCTATATACCAATGAATATATTAATATTTGTCTATGACTGATATGCTTGTGAATATTGCCTTATTTTTTCTGAAGAGCATACCATAACTTCTAGTGTTTCACTGTGTGTCATTGCTGTGATCAAGGTGTTACTGTAATGCTCAGGCAAAAATGTACCAAAGTTATGTTGCAAACAACTTTGTGAAGGCATAATTGAAACACATAGAATTTTTAAAAGACATAATCAACATAATTCATGTTCATCCTTTCAGAGTGCTTCTTTGTATAGATTAGTTGGGATATGCTTGCATAGAAGAGAGTAATTTGTGTGTAGGTAGTTAACGTTGTAATAATTAAAAATAATTGTAATTGCTATACATATTTCATAAACGCTACTATTATGTCTATGTCCAACAGCTGACTGTGTAATTGTGATATCTTCTCATGGGATATATACGGTAGTTACACTGCAGGAAACATCTCAGTGCCATTTAGTCATTCTACGACAATAAGTTAATTTTAGGAGTAGTACCAATATAATGCTGGTTCCCTGCAACTAAATTGAAAACCAGCCACCATTTTCTCATGCCCCCTGATGTCTACACTATAGAATCTTTTCTTACCTATAATTCTTAGCCACATTTTAATAATATATTTGCATGAATGCTAATAATAATTAAGACTAATTAAGTTTGGAAACCCATTCAAATTGATGTAAACTCTTGTTTATTCAGCATCATTTATTCATATCATTGTTGATATGGCTAATTGTGACAAAGGAAAAGAATTTGTGCTAATCAGAGAGTAAAAGAGATTGCAAAAGAGATTTCTATTTCTAGAGGATGGCTTCTAGGTTATAATTCAAATCCATTGTATAAAGTGCCAGAATTATGGTTTCAGATTTGTACAGGAGGACTAATAACACATTATACATTGATTATAGGCTGGTTCCTGTTGTTGTTCCCTATAGTCAAAAAAGCTTTATTTTGCAAGTATTGGGGAATGGGGTGCCTTTTTACTATTTATTCATCTGCTTTGGTCTTTCTAATCCTGGTATCTTTCTTGCCCATCACAATGCCATACCACTGCCTTTTCCCGATGCTTCCCTTCTGTCTTTCTTGGTGCTAACGTACCATAATGAATTGCTACATATCCTGTTGTAGCCAATGCTCTTAAAAACAACAACCTGTTTTTAAGTACTGCAAGAGATGTTGCATACAGCTGTTATGCTGCTGTGCCCCCCCCCCCAAAAAAAACTTAGTTAATGTTTAGAATAAAGGATGAAAGATGGAGCAAATATAATATGCTCTGGATGGACCAAAAGAAACACAACCATGATTTTCAATGAACTTATCTTTTCATTTTAGGTATAAAATGTGCTTTTGATATAGGTTTATGCTAGATTTCAGATTAAAGGCAATCCATTTTATTTTAGGATTTCGGAAAGAAACTTCATTCCAGATTTGTAATTTAAAATGTATCTTCATTTAGGGGAATAGAAAGATTTATTTTAAACAAACACAAGGTAATTAAATTTGTTCTGTAAAAGTGTGTTTGTTTCTTCAAATGTGGGTTTGAAAAGATGGATTTATTTAGATATTTCTTAGTATGTATAGTAAATATGTGATAGAATGTGAAATTAAAGAGAAAATACTGAAGGGCATAGAGTTATGTTTTATCATAATTGTATTGTACCTAGATTGTCTTAGAATGTAATATGTTCTTAGATAACATTTCCATGTAGAAATGTAATTTAGACACTTAAAGGAGAAACATCCTTTTGCAGATTGGAACCTCTGTTACTGTGAATCAAAACATTTCTTATAGACACATTTACAGAGCACATCAAGTAGTCAAAGTGACATGAGTGAGTGGGACAGCATAGCGATAACTTCTGATTACAATCCTTCTGATTTCTCCCAAGCACTTGGCTGATATTTTGATGATTATTTTAGTAGGTTCTAAGTAAACAATCAATAACTTCATGACTGTTGGATTTTGGGGCAAACATAAAGACATTAAGCATGCACATCCTGCTGAAAATCAGGGCTTGCCTTATTCTACCATAACTTGTCCAAAGCTTTATGTAGGAGATGAGTAGTTTTTATTTCTTTGGAATCTGTTCTTGGAAAAGGTGTTAGGATACAAATTATCTGATTACATCTACATTAAGGAGAACAGAACAGTCACTCATGTAGCTAAGCAGGCTAATTTGAAATGTGAAGTCTCATTTACAGTAGGGAAGGATCCAATGGCCTTTAATATATTTTTCTTTCAAATAGATAAAATATTCCTTCACATTGTTTTTACTAATACTTAGTTCAATATTTTAACATTATTTTCATTTATAATCTCAAGGATATATCTGTTTCATACAGCATGTTGATGTAGTTACCGTGTTTTCTTGTGGCTGCCTGATTTATTTTCTGAGAGTTGAAGATCCTGTTCTTTGGGATGTCATTGCTTAAGCGATTGAAGTGGTTTATATGTGGGAACTGCTTCCATCCTCATCCTAACCTGCCATCTTATCAGTATTTTTAGATTCTGGACCTATAATGTTCTGGACCTTTAGTTGTGTGCTTTATAAAATCATTATTGTACTACCACTCTGTGTAGAACATCACATTGCTGCATTTTTATGAATCCAATATAAGCATTCATACTTGTTGTCTTGTACTGGATTTACCAGAGTTGGAATTAAAGAAATCTATGCACTCGTGGCAAAGTAAAGTTCCTCAAGGCACAGAGAGTACTCTAACTACACTTTTAGAAAAATATGAATATCTTCTTCATTGTGTTCAGTGCTTTGCTTCTTATTGGTAAAGAAGGCGTTTCATCTGGTAATAGATGTAGGTGGTCTTCATAATACAGATCTTCAAAACATATCTGTTGGAAAGTATTCAGGCAATCCTGCTGATCCTGAACTGAGCTTCTTTTGCTTTAGTTGCATCTTTGTTATCTTCCATCTGTGACAGCAAATCACTCATCATTATTTTTAAAAAGAAAAAATGATTCTTCCTTTGACTTTCTTATACCTCGTAGTATTTTCTTCTTGCTCTGAGGAAGTATACATTTATTTGCTTTTAGTTGAGCTTTCAAACATTCATAATTTTTGCAAGCTTTGTTCCTTTTTTGATGGGACATTAGAAACCCACTTCGAAAAGAAAAGTGAGTGAACTGAAGAATGCTAAAGGAGCACAAAATCATTTGTATTTTGGGTTTAAATGTTTGTTTGTTTTTAAAAAAGACTTGGTCTTCAGATTTGTGGAATCTTTTTTATATTTCTGGACTCACTAGCCAAAGCCATGTGTACCTTAGTGAATGTGCTTTGAATTGAGGAAATGTTAAGGATGTCATGACAGTGACATGTTCCACGTTGGAATTGAGCTTTTAACTTTTATACAGAGAAATCCACCTTTTGGTATTTTTTTTGCTTGTTTTTGTTTCAGCAGCCAAAGCAGAGAAGATTCACTGTAGTTGTTGATATTTTTCAGTAATTGGAAGTATGATATCTACAGTAAATCTTGACTTACAATTTGCTTTCCCCTTTTTTTGTGCAATAACATTTTACATTACAACACATTGTATGGTTACATAACACAGGATATAGTTGAAAGGATAGGATTATCCATCTAATAGGATTTAATTCATCGTTGTAAACACAAACACAAAGAACCTAAATGATCTCACATATTTAATTCAGTGTAAATCCTGCACTAGTTCATCAAATGGACTATAGTTCATGAAACTTATGCTGAATAAAAATTTGGTAGCCTTTGAGGGTATTTTTTGCTGAAACTGAATAACATGGTTGTATTCCCCTGGAAATTCATAATTATTATAGTGGAAATATGTATATGTGCATATACTTCCACTGGTTATTGACATTAGTCACAATTCCACACACCTAATCAGAGTTTTCTATTTGGATCATGTTCTTCTTTCCCTATTCCTTGTCTCTGCTGATAACTAATCAGTTTAGAGGTGGTCATTTTGAAGACATGTTTATTAAGTCCCAGATTTCCTGGACACCACTTGAAGGAAACTGGTTGTCTCATTGGCAGTTTTAATTGGCCTGAAAACGCAAAATCACATTGAGATGTGTTTTTTGGGTTTAGGGATGAAGGCTCTCTTTCTGTGTTGGAAACAAATCTATATTACCACAAGTTTATATCAGTAACCATTTTGAAGTGGGTTAGAATAGATTGGATGCCTTTAAATAAATAAAAAAAAGATTTTGCTTTATATGAAGTATCTTAGAAATCAAACTTTAGATGTTGCATTTCTGGTGTGGACTCTCCATGTCCTTATAACCTGGTCAGAAACATTATATTATTTCATTATTTGAAATTTTGTCTAAAATAATGTGTAGTTATTAATCATAAATGTTTTAACATATTTTGAACAAAATATATTGCAAAATTCAGTTTATGATTAGAGGTGAATTGCTAGATATAGGTTGCAGAGGACAGATATGTACAGTGCAGAAATGCTGCATGTTCTACCTTTTGTATTCATGAGCATTAATTAGTTAAGAGACAGACTGTTTTTTATGTTGAACAAAGGTCTGTCTCCTCAGCAGCAGGAACTGCTCTAGTAAAATAGCCCTCAAACCTATAGCTTTTCCAGGTCAGCCTAGCTTTTTACGTGTTTGGATGGTGCCTGTACATTAAAAGAAAGATTGCTTATTCAAAATTCAAGCCCAAATTCAATTGGAAATATGGCAGCCTCCATACCAGGCTTCTACAAAGAGAAACTCAAAGCAAGAATACCCTTTATAAAAATAAAAAAAATCTGACACATATTTCATTGAGTGTCTTAGCAGAAAGCTTTTCCCCATATCAAATATTTCCGATTTTCACCGGTAATCCAAAGAGCTATATAAAAATGCCTGAGGGCTAGTCATGGCCCATTTAGATTGCTTATTTTTTTCTTTCAGCTGGATACATCACACTGATACACACTTTTTACATATTGCATATTACCTTTGAAACTCCCTTTCCTACATGAAGCTTGCATTGCTCCTGCTTGAAAGGCGCATTGAGTGTGTGGAATTAAAGCCTTTTAAATTGAGACCTTTGCAACCAATGAGTGCATGCTTTCTCATCAATTCTTTATCAATTAATCCACAGCAACAAAACAGACCAAAATGTATATATTAATATATACAGCATTATGAAGTATATTCATGTATAAATCACACATTGAAAAAGTGAGGACAGCTAATATATCTGTATTGAGAAATCAAAATTCAACTTGGAGTCAAAAGAAGTATTTCAGATAGACAGACTGCTTCAATAAAATCTTGACATATAAATCCATCTTCAGCCTTCACAGATGGTAGTAAACATTTTTCATTAAATCAACTCATCCTATTAAATCTTCTGTTAGTTTTAAAGCATCTTTCTCTCTCTATTCTGGTTGCTTGGATATATTTTTGTCAGTTGAAAATACTAATTACAAATTATCATCCTTAAGGGATTTCATATATATAAATATTATATATATTATATGTATATAATATATGTATATGGAGTCTACTGTTCTTCACACCTGTGCATCCGAAATATTAATCAGTATATGGCATTTGGCGCTGAACATTTTTTCAATATTTTTATTAACTGGCATTTTTTAAACCTTTCAAGCAATGGCCCCATTAAGGAGGAAGATGATGATGATGATGATGATGAAGAAGAAGAAGAAGAAGAAGCAGAAGAGGAGGAGGAAGAAGAGGAAGATGGCAACAGTGGGGAAGAAGAGTTTGAATGTTATCCACCTGGCATGAAAGTCCAAGTGCGGTATGGACGAGGGAAAAATCAAAAAATGTATGAAGCTAGTATTAAAGAGTCTGATATTGAAGGTGGAGAAGTCCTTTACTTGGTGCACTACTGCGGATGGAATGTGAGGTAATTGAGATTTAGCTAGTGATTGCTTCTTTAAAATTCTAAAATACATGTGTGTCTCTTAAAACACACTGAATATTGATTTTTTCAATATTGCTGCTCTATGAAGATCATTGTGTTGTATAAACCTACTTGTATTATACAATATAAGCACACCAATCAGTAGACCAAGCACAAATAATCTTGTCCTTATCGTAACTCAGCTTTACTCTCAAATAGTGAAATAAAATATGTAGATTCTTGTTCTGCTCAGTAATGTAATGTCTCCACGCATTGCACAAAATCCAGCACAGAAATCAAATGCACATTTTAACAAGAAGTAGAGTTGAAGTGAGATGGAAAATGAAGTTCTTTCTGGACATTGCATGCAGGAAGCTATTATTCATTTTCAGCATTAAATCAGATGGCCAAGCTTCTAAGAATCCAGAATTCTTATGTGCAATTTGAGAAAAGCAAATAGATAGTTTCACTTGGCCAGACCTGATTTCTTCTTGTGGCCATATTTTTCTGAAGAAGATTCATCTTGTGTTCCATTTTTGTTTCTGAGCATCTTCCTATTAGGATATCTTGTTGCCGTAATTGGGAAAGCGGTGTTTTTAGCATTTTGCCAAAAAGATATTCTTTCTTTATGCCATCAATTGTGTTTTCTGATATATACAGTTCCAATATAGCTGTCTCCTCAAAGCCCTTTCAAATACATGTTTTATGAATATGTGCTGTGCATGGTCTTCAATAACAGAGCCTATATTTCTTATTAATACATTCCTTGGACTCATCATCTTTGCTTGCCATTTGTATCTACTTTACTTGTATCATTAGAGAGAAGCCTTGGTAGACTTCTGTACTGTTGGCAGGAGCAGCCTACATTAGTCATAGTTGAAAAACCTTGTCATGCTATCATCTCTATTTTTTATAAAGGAGCTACTTTTGATAAAGTCAGTATTAATCAGACAAATAAAAAGACCAATATGGAGGAAACTGTAGGCTTTAAAAAGCAAGCTATATTCTTAACTTTTGTTTGATTCACTTTGCTTGATTCACTTTACCCAAGTGGAGTAAATTTTGCAGAATAATGACGTCTCTGATTATAAACTGTGTGTATAGAACATATGACTTTAATGAATTTGCATAAAACTTTGGGAAGGAATGTACATTTTTTACTATTATTGAAACAGCTCTATTATTTTAAAGCTCTTATATTAGCATGAAGTTAAAATTTATGATTTTTGAGATTTTATTTGCTTGCTTGTGGAAGAAAAAAAATAACTCCAAGCTTTGTGTGGGGTTGAATTTTCATGTATTTAATATACATGAAATTTTAATATAGAGGATGTAAGAGAGACTGTAGTTTAATGTGATATAGTACAAAAAAATAGAAGGATGTAAGAATTGATGAATTTAAATTGATATAAAAAGTTTGGTGTGTCAGATTTGTGAACATTTTATGGCTCTTATTTCCTGTTGAAGTTAAAATATTATTCTTGTTAATGTGCTTGATTGATTGAGATAGTTTAATACATAGTTTCTTCAGAATGCCCCAAATTTACACAACTGCGATAAATGGCCTAAACACGTGAAAGGTACCAGACATTGTCTGACCTTGGAAGCTAAGCAGGATTACTTGTGGTTAATACTTGGATAACAGACCACCGTGAATTCCAAGTGCTGTAGGCTATATTGCACAGAAAAGAACTGGAAAAACAACCTCTCAGTATTTCTTGCCTAAGAAAATCCTATGAAATACATGGGGGCCATTATAAGTCAACAGGTGGCTTGAAGGGACATATATGTATTTAGCTTCTGTAATTGACATGGACTTCTATTACATATGCTTAACTCTGGGGTGTTATTTTATGAGATGTTGTATGCAGTAGTGAATGTAGCAATCCAGTCAAAGACAGTGTGGTTCTAATGTAAATTCCTCATGTTGTCATGCCTCAAGACTGTAGTATAGAATCTACAAGTAATGAAAATCTAAATCAGAAATAGATATTCCCTTCTTTCTTTGTGTCTTGGTTTACAACCTCAGAATCCCTCACCATTGTCTGCGCTGGCTGAGGATGATGGAAATTGTTGTATCTTTGGCCTTAAATCTGTTTTCAGTGTTGGACTTCAAGAATGGAGTTGAGATTTTTGTCTTGATCCCTAGGCAGACAATGCAGAGTGTGTTGTTGTAGGTTTTTTCTGGCTATATGGCCATGTTCTACAGGCATTTCTCCTGACGTGTCGCCTGCATCTATGGCAAGCATCCTCAGAGGTAGTGAGGTCTGCAGAAATGCAGAGTGTATTTCTGTGAAAGGGAAGTAGGAAGGGAGTGGAAGACAAAACAGGAGATGGATCATTTGAGTAGTTATGCAAAAATTGCTCTTTGATTATGAAGTTTTCTGATTACTTTTACTAATTCTTTTTCATATTTTAAATGAAAACAGCTTTATTATAAAAACACATTGGTATAACTTTGCATTCTTCCTACCTTATACCAGAATATAATGTGTGGGCTATACATGTTTATCAACTGAATACGTATGTCTCACACCAGATATAAGTATTTGGGAACATAACAGAAATTGCTTCATTCCTGCCTACCAAATACAGGCTTATTGAATGTTCTTTTGGGCTAATAATCCAGTTTTGACTAGAATTCTCTCTATATCTGTGTCTGAGTGAGTGCGATTCTTATTAAATAAATCTGGACTTAATGAATGCTAGAATACCTGGCAGGAATATATCTTCATTTTAGAAGATGGCAGAATTTTTAATTCATTCTAATTGGTGCAGTTTTGAGTTGTTCTCTTGGTGTTCTTTATTTGGAATTAGTTGAAAGAGAAAATAACCCTGATCATATCAAGGAGTCAAGTACAGGCAGTCCCTGAGTTACAAACATCCAGCATACAAACAATTCATAAATAAGAACGGGGGGGGGGGGGCAACAGAAGGTGAGATAAATCTACCCTTCACTCCTGAAATTCACTCCTGAAAGAATTATCACGGGGAAAAGGTGTCTCCGCTGAAGCTTTATCACCAATCCTTGTCTCCACAACAAGCAAAATGATTCAAAATCCAATTATCATAAGGACAGAAATTGGAGTGAAATCTTCTGAACAGTATCACAGACACCAAAACAAACACCACACTGGATATTAACCCATCCCTATGCTATCCAAAGCTAATATGTGTATTTATTTGGCTGGAGTTACTCTTAAATTTTACCTGTTCCAACTTAAAAACTAAATCAGTTTAAGAACAGACCTGCAGAACCTATATATTGACTTACATCCAGCAGAGACCTATTGGTCACTGGCAGCTAATGCCCCCTCCTCACTTGTCTACATGCCACCCCAAAAGAACAGATTTAAAGAATTTCTAAGTCCTTAAAGGACACCAGATGTGAGGTTTTCTCCTGTTCGTTCTAAGGCAAAAGGTAATGGAGGATTCCATTCATTAGAAGGAACCATTTTTAAATATTTCATCTCATTTAGTTTAGAGTTGATTGTCACTTGCACATGGCCAACTGATTTGATTTCTTTCTAGATTCCCTGTAATTTGTTTTAAATTGGTTGAGTTTAAATTGAAGCAAGCCAGTTGAATAACAAATAGGTGGTAGAATGTTTAGTTACTGTCCTAGTTTATGGCAATTAATGTCCCTGGTCGTTCGGAGGCACAGTCTTGGAATATTCACTTTAGTCTTGTTGTGGTAAGGGGAACACAAAAGTCACCCTATTGCTAATGTGCAGAAGGGAAAGTGGCTTCTGAGCCTATATCAGATTGTCTCAAAGAGCTCTTAAACTGACACAGAGCATTACTTTTTGTTATTCTATTATTATTATTATTATTATTATTATTATTATTATTATTATTATTATTTTACTGACACAACCACAGCATGTCACAGCAAACGAGATCTATATGCTGGATTTCGTATCACAAAATCACAAGTCGAACACTCCCTAAGTGTCTAGGACTGTGTGTTATGTTTTCGAATGATGTGTGCAGATCAAAGTAAGGTGGCCTTTTGCAGTTGACAGATCGTGATTTTGTCAATGTTTATTGTTTCCAAATGCCGGCTGAGATCCTTTGGCAAGGCACCCAGTGTGCCGATGACCACTGGGACCACCTGTACTTGTTGTTGTTATTAAGTCCTCATGAGCTGGTTAGCTCAAGAACGTTTTTCCACCAGGCTTTGCATGTGTTTGTTTTCAGGTCATTACATAGAGTAGATTTTAAAAATATTTATCTAAAAATAAAATGTGTGAATGCCACAGAGAGGCACACATATCAGAGGATTGCCCTCAATAATGTGCAAGACCAGCTTTTGAGTATTCCTTGCCTAAGAAAACCCCGTGAGCTGCATGAGGTTGTGATAAGATAAAAGCCAATTGAATTTTGGCCTGCATAAATAGGAGTATAGTGTCTAGATCCAGGAAAGTCATGCTACCCTTTTATTCTGCCTTGCTCAGGCTACACCTGGAATACTGCGTCCAATTCTGTACATGGCAATTTAAGGGAGATGTTGTCCAGAAGAGGGCGACTGAAATAATCAAGGGTCTGGAGAACAAGCGCTGTGAGGAGCGGCTTAAAGAGCTGGCCATGTTTAGCTTGCAGGAGAGAAGGCTGAGAGGAGACATGATGGCCATGTATAAATATATGAGGGGAAGTCGTAGGGAGAAGGGAGCAAGCTTGTTTTCTGCTGCCCTGGAAACCAGGACATGGAACAATGGCTTCAAACTACAGGAAAGGAGATTCCACCTAAACAATAGGAAGAACTTCTTAACTGAGAGAGCTGTTCAGCAGTGGAACTCTCTGGCCCGGACTGTGGTGGAGGATCCTTCTTTGAAGGCTTTTAAACAGAGTCTAGATTGCCATCTGTCGGGGGTGCTTTGAATGCAAATTTTCCTGCTTCTCGGCAGGGGATTGGACTGAATGGCCCATGAGGTGTCTTCCAACTCTGTGATTCTATGATTCTAAGTTGTAGGCAATTGAAGGCATGTACATGCTCAATGTGCAAGGTAGCTTTTAATGTTTCAGTCACAGTTCAAACAGGGCACACAGTAGCTCTGTATGGTGATAGCCTGTATGGTGGCATCTAGGTTCTTGAGAATGTATTTCTTTTAGTTAGAGTCCTGGTATATACTGCTAGAAGCAGGTTGAGTATTCTTAATCTGGAATGCCAAAACCCACAATACTTCCAGAATCGTCCACATGAATGGTTTAAGTAGTGACGCCCTTATTTTCTGATGACTTGATGTACACAAACTTTGTTTTGTGCACAAAATTATTAAAAATAATGTACACAATTACTATCAGGTTATATGTATAAAGTGTATATGAAACATCTATGAATTTCATGTTTACACTTCGGTTCCCTCTCCAAGGTATCTCATGATGTATGAATATGCAAATACAGATGTTCTAAAATCTTAAAGAATTCAAAATCCAAAACCCTTCTCACCCCAAGTGTTTCAGATGAGGGATACTCAATCTGCATATGTTATCAATATAGAGACTTTATACATTTTATATTAGCTAAGTATTATGTTGCTTGTACAGAGTTCTGCATTTTTCTTCTTTTGGAAAGAAAGTATTAATTATATTCTAAATTGATCTACCAAATGGAATATCATAATGGAAAATTCTATTTGATAAATGATTTTATTCCTAATAAGAATACACCATTATCTTGTATTTTTCATTTTCCTGGAAAAACTAGAGGTGATGCGAATTGTAGGAAAGAAGGGTGGACACAGAATATTCAGCAGTTTTATAAGGTGTTTTCCTTAGTACTCTTAGATATTATTAATATTAATTACATCCTACTTTTGTTTTCTTTATGCTAAGGCATATTTCTTTTCATTGGGATAAACTACCAAGAATATGAAATTTCTAATGTTTATCCTTAATGCAATAATTTTATATATAAATGTATGTATTCCTCCAAATAATTTTATTTATTTATTTATTTATTTACCGTGTTTGTATGCTGCCTTTCTCAGCCCGAAGGCGACTCAAGGCAGTTTACACTCGGCACAATTCAATGCCCCCAACAACATAACATACAATTAAAAATATTTAGCATATAATATGTAAAACCATACAAAACCAATAAAACAAAAATCCTCAGCATCACCTTACTAAAATCATTTTCCAGTTGCATTTGCTTGATTTGCTAGTTTTCCCAAACTAAGCGACTTTGCTGCTATTGCAGTAAATTTATAGTAGAAGAGGAGAGTATTTGAATAACACAATAAAACACAAACATGGAATACCCCAAGAGAGCTGTTGTTAACATAGTGGTTAAGTGATTGACCTGTAAACCAGATATTTCCCAGCTGAAATCCTTCATCCATCTTGAACCCATCAGATTGTCTGAGGCAAACTACTCTCTCCCTTTCTTTCTGATCCCCAATGACAATATGGGGATAATAGACTTGACCTAGCTTAAAGGGTTGTTGAAAGTATTTCTGTAAGCTAGCATATGTGAAGCATTTACATAAGATTGCATGGTATCTATTTGTGGATCTGGGTTGCAGAGTTTTCCGGATCTCTGTGTGAAACCAGCTAGGCTTTATGATTCCCCAAATTTTCACCATTATAAACTCTATAAACAATAATAACAGGAAATAATCATTACAGTTGCTTGTATTTATGATAGTACAGAGGCTGAATCTTTCAGTAATCTTTCAGCCTCTGGGATTTTCCACCTTAAGAATTTATTTCCTTAGACTAGGTATTTGAGTGCCTCTACTATTCAGTTTTAGAGTTTATTTTAGAATCCCCAATCTATAGTAACTATGATGCATATTTGTATTAATATCTGTAGTTTGCCCTAGTGTGTGACTCATGTGGTAAAATAGATAACTGGCTGCTCTTTGAGCCACCACTTTTAATCTCGCTCTTTTTCCCCACTGCAGCTATTACTTTGCACCTGACTGTAGTAGCTATACCTTATAATTCAAGTGGGACCCCCCCTATATATATAGCCATTCAAAAGTGCTGTATGATAGCCAAGTAATTACTATTGCTGTTATAGTATATCAAAAGTGTATTCTGTGATTTCTGTCTTGAGTATCTCCCAAATCATGTTTGCTGTATTTTATTCCCTTGTAGATATGATGAATGGATAAAAGCAGACAAGATAGTGAGACCAGCTGACAAAAATGTGCCAAAAATAAAGCATCGAAAGAAAATAAAGGTATTCACTTTGGATTACTGCTGAACTTTATTCTTATGAAGAAGAAGAGAACACTAAATTAAATCTGTGGCATCTGCTTTACTAGGCAGAGATATGAGCAGCATATGACATATTTGTGTTTTATGAACTAGTAATTGGTTCATCCCTGCTAATGATGGATACAATATATTGGCCCTGTAACAAACCTGCTTCATATTCTTTAGCACTTGTTTAGTGAGATACAAAAGTACATAGATTAATTGTTTTGATTGGCCCAGTGTTGGCCTTGTACTGTTTAATGTGCAAGCATTTGATCACTACAAAGCTCTTCTTGAAGTACATATGACACCTGTAACATAAAATAAGAAATGCAAATTAGTACTGTGAAGTATTGGAGCATATTTAGGAAAAGGGTAGGAATGAAGCCCTCCAGATGTTCTTGGCCTGAAGCCCTAGGTAGGGTAGCCAATCTAACAACAGCTATAGGTGAAGCTAATTGCCACTTTTAATTTAGGCTCATCTGTAGTGTCTAGCATTATATAAAGATTTTAAACTACTTTTAAGTTGCAATCATGTTTTGTAACAAGGAAATAAAATACCATATTTAATTGCATAATAGGCACAATTGCATAGTAGTCGCACCCCAGTGCCACTATTATGCAACAAAATAAGCTAATTAATTGAAGTTATTATAAAACTTAGGAACTGCTCCTTTGGAATTTGTACTCCACATAATGCATGCTGTTTTGTGCTGAAAATATTCTGAATGGTTTAATTATATACACATTTTTTTGTTTTAAACTAGAACAAAACTGACAAAGAGAAAGATGAGAAATATTCTCCTAAAACATTTAAGCTGCGACGCTCATCAAAACCACCTTTTCACGCTATCATATCTCCTGAGTTGGCATCCAAACCAGACAGCACTGAAGCCAAAACCTCTGAAGCAGCTCCAAATAAATCTTTAGAGATTTTGTCTCTTCTTAATGGAATGCAAGGTAATTTAGGCAGAATTTCTAAACTATTGTGAAAATATTTTCTAGTACTTTGGGAAAGAAGATACTTTATATAGCTTGTAAGCACATCTGTGTTTAATATTTTGGTGTGAGTACATCCTGTAGAACACAACAAATAACAAATACTAGCTGTTTTTTTCCTTCTCTTTTGCTGTTTTTGAGTGTTAGTAATTTTTGTAGCCATATTTGAAAGTTTTATTCAGCAAAACTAAGTTAAAAGTAAACAAAGAGCTAAACAGTAAACCCCAGGACATTTATTTATACTTTGTAATTTGTACTGTTAGTAGATGCTACATTACTACTACTACTACTACTACTACTTTATTCTTATATCCCGCCACCATCTCCCTGAAGGGACCCGGGCGGCTTACATGGGACCAAGCCCAGTCAAACAGTTAAAATATAGCACGGAAAAATACACTGCATTACAATAAAATTAAAACAAAAGTTATACATGCATTTTGCAGTGAAAACTATTTGGTTTTGTTGTTGTTACGTGCCATCACGTCGACTCTCAACTTTCGCCAACCCTATCAGAGTTTTGTTGGCAAGATTGAATCAGAGGAGGTTTGCCATTACATTTTTCTAAGGCCGAGAGAGTGTAATTTGCCTAAGCAAAGTGTTCTGAACAAGTGTTCAAACCCTACTTCCTTGGGAATCCTAATCCAATCAAACCACTGTCATATTTGTATTCTACAATTCATATTTACAAATGCTGTATTGTGAATATATAACATTATACAGTTGGAGGAGACCACAAGGGTCATCTTACAAAATACAACAAAGCCTCTTTGACAGATGGCCTGTCAGCCTCTTCTTAAAAATCCCCAGAGAAAAGGGCTCTGCCACACTCCCAGGCAGCATATTCTGTCAGAATAGCTTTTACCATCAGGAAGTTTTTCTTTGTGTTTTGGTGGAATCTTATTTCCTGTAATTTAAATTCATTGCTCCGAGTCCTGGGTTCTAGAGAAGCAGAAAACAAGCCTGCTCCCTCCTCACTGTGACAACTTTTCAAATATTTAAACATGGCTAATGTCACTTCTCAACATTCTTTTCCCCAGGCTAAGGCCCAATTCCATAAGCTGATACTCATAAGACATGGCTTCCAGATCTTTGATCATTTTTGTTGTCCTCCTGTGGACATGTTTCTTTTATGGAGTATATTTTCGTCCATGGAACTGATTTCCCAAGTATGCAGAAACATGCAAAAACTTGCACAGCCACCTGCAATCACTCCACAACCCCAAATTCTTCTGTTTACATCAATTCCTTCTCAAAATGTCAACAGAAAGAGATATAGTAGCATCTCTGGTTAGTAGGTGTGCCATGTGGATGCAGACCAAAGCTTATCTGGAAGGTGAAATTAGTTCCTGGCGTAAAGCAGGATTATTTCACTTGTATACTTAATAAGGAAGAATTCTCCATATTAAAAATACCAAGAGAGTTCCTTAGTATAATTTCCCAGAGGCATTTTATTACAAGGAAACTCAGATTAAAAATGCTAACAGAGTAGTTTTAAGTTTATCTTTCAAAATATGTTGGGGAAAAAACTGCTTTTCAGTCTTCTTTGATTAATTTTTTTAAGTGCAGGGAGAGATATGGCCATAAAGAATTTGAAGGCTAACAAAATGTTGATTGTGTTTCCGTATACTAGTAATAATTCTGGGAACTGCATTAAAATGATGAACTGAGCAGTTGATTCTCTTCTTTCATCCACCCCGCACCCCATTTTAGCTTCAGAAAGTTCAGAGGACAGTGAACCAGAAGATGAGCAGATGACTCCAAATGCTTGCAATAATGGTAAAGAAGAAGTTCAAGATGAGCCTGTGAAGCCAGACAATAATGAACTTTGTCCAAAAGAGCAGAACACCTTATCCTTTCCAGAAGAAGCTAAAACTCTTATAGAGGCTACAGCATCCACACCAGTATCAAAATCTCCAGAAAGATTGCAGAAAGAATCGGCAGAATTATCTGAGGATACTGATTATGAAGGGGAGAATGAAGCAACCAAGAAGAAGAAAGATTTTAAAAAAGAGGCAGTGGATAAAACGAAGCCACCCGTAAAACGTGGTAAAAGAAGGTACTATGTCACAGAGGAGTGCTTCAAAACGGGGTCACCTAATGCTAAGGATGAAAAATCCAATGGCAAAGACATACTTAGCTTGGAAAACAGTAGCAATAGCTCCTCAGATGAAGAAGAGGTTAAAAATAAATTAAAAACACCTAATAAGAAGTACAACGGTTTGGATGACAAAAGAAAGTCCTTGCGGACAACCACTTTTTATCCAGGTTTCTCTGAAGTGGCAGATAAGAGAGTAAAGCTCCTAAATAATTCTGATGAAAGGCTTCAAAATAATAGAGCTAAAGACCGGAAAGATGTTTGGTCAAGCATTCAGGGGCAGTGGCCTAAAAAAACTCTCAAGGAACTTTTTTCAGATTCTGACACAGAAGCAGCAGCCTCCCCACCACATGCCTCTCCTGAGGATGCCGCACCAGATGAGCATTTGCAGACTCTTGTAGAAGAGGAAACCTCTTTGTCAAGTTCAAAAGCTGAAAGACCTTTGCCGCCCAACACAGATACAAAGCCTATTGAGGAAAAGCCAGCTGAAATGAGTGACAAGAAAGTTGAATTCCCAAGCAGTGGCAGTAATTCGGTCCTTAATACTCCTCCCACCACACCTGAATCACCACCATCAGTAACAGTAGCAGAGTCCAGTAGACATCAGTCGAGTGTATCTGTCTCTGAAACTATGGCACCAAACCAAGAAGAAGTGCGAAGTATCAAGAGTGAAACGGATAGCACAATAGAGGTGGACAGCGTTGTCGGGGAACTGCAGGACCTCCAGTCTGAAGGGAATATATCTCCTACAGGCTTTGATGCCAGTGTCAGCTCCAGCAGCAGCAATCAGCCAGAACACATGGAAAAAGGTATAAACATTGTGCCGCTTACATTGATCTCTCTTCCGAATTTGTTGGTAATACATTCACCAGTAAGAACCATAACTACTTTGGTGTCTCAAAAGTTAGCCCTAATGCAATTTACAGTATATTCTGGCGTATAAGACTACTTTTTAACCCAAGAAAATCTTCTCAAAAGTCAGGGGTCGTCTTATACGCGGCTGTAGTCTTATGCATGGGAGTCGTCTTAACTCTATATTTTAACTGGAAAAGTTGGGGGTCGTCTTATACACCCAGTCGTCTTATATGCCGGAATATACGGTAATTATTATGATGTAATAGATAGGAGGTAACCAACCTAAAATTCTTTAGACTCTGTGGACTGCTGCCCCCAAAATCACTGACCATTTGTTTCAGTGGCTAGTGTTTATGGGCACTGTAGTCCTATAATCCACCAAACACCTGGCTGTTTACTCCTATAGTATCTATCTAAGAACATAGCTTTCCATTTAAGAACCGTGTGGATTATAATACAATGTTTATATATTTCTCTAGAAATTGTTCTCTTGGTTGAAATGGACATAACATTAAATCATCTTCATTGACCTATCGCTGCTAACCAGTTTTGGTGTGTTATGCTCAATTTTTCCTCTTCAATTCCTTTACCTCAATTCTTGTTCTTTTGCTCATGATGCCAGTTTTACATATCTGTGTGAAGACACCATTCTTAGAAACTACAGCAAAATGATCTCAAATCTTCGTAGTCCATTGAAAAATGACTAAAGTTGTCAGAAATGGACAAATATGATTGAGTGCTCTTGTGAATATAATAAAATACTTAATATGTGGTTCTATCCCTAATTTGACAGTATTTTTGTTACAGTAGTACTGTATTTTTTCATCCCCCTCCCAAAGCAATTTCTGACTTCTAAAATGGCTATTATTCTGTCAGTATATTTGAGTGTGCCTATGGTTTAACACACTTAATACATACTTTGATTTTTCTTCTTTCAGTTTTCATGAATCATAGAATTCCTTTTTCAAAGTATCAAAATTTAATATTTTCTGTGATCTAGGTCTGAAGAAGGATGTGCAAAATAGGACTACATATAGCTGTATGTCTTGTTGAAGGCTTTCATGGCTGGAATCACTGGGTTGTTGTAGGTTTTTTGGGTTGTATGGCCATGTTCTAGAAGCATTCTCTCCTGACGTTTCATCTGCATGTGTGGCAAGCATCCTCAGAGGTTGTGAGGTTTACAACCTCTGAGAATGCTTGCCACAGATGCAGGCAAAACATCAGAAGAGAATGTTTCTAGGCCATACAACCCGAAAAACCTACAACAACCCATATAGCTGTAGTTTAGCATTTGCCATGTTAATTTTCATAACTTAAATGAAGTGCAGTTTTATAAACCGAACAGTGGTTGTATCTCTTTAAGAGCCACTGCTGTACCAAAAACAGTTCGCAAAGTTCAAGTTGTACCTGTGATTTTTTGCCCATGTTCCTGTGTTCTTTCTTTCGGTCTTGACCTAGTTATTTTAAAGAAGTTATAAAAAACGAGGTGCCTTATCACATTAGAGCTTCAGGAATAGGCAAAGAGTATGCATCCCATATGAAATCCTGTGGCTGCCTCCTGCAGAATTGTGGGGCGTGTCGTTTAGGGAGATGCAGGAGTTACTTATTATCCACATTGATTTTATCGCAACACATTAGCACTGTTATAGTGCAAAATTACCATGCTTCTTTACTATCTGTAATGTTGGTATGGAAAGAAAAATATTTAAACTCCTAGGGTACATAGTATCTTTTTTCTACTGTGAACCAGTTACTTACTTAGATGTATGTTGGCCACTTCCTTGCTTAGACATATCTATTATTCTTTTGATCATTTTGTTCTTGTAGCCCACTAACAATTATGTGTTGATATTTTGTGGTTAGTAGTGTATATTATGGGCCCTCTGGTGGCGCAGCAGGTTAAACCATTGAGCCGCTGAACTTGCTTCAATGATTCGAATCCGGGGAGCGGAGTGAGCTCCTACTGTTAGCCCAGCTCCTGTCAACCAAGCAGTTTGAAAACATAGAAAAGTGAGTAGATCAGTAGGTACTGTTTCTGCAGGAAGGTAATGCTGGCCACATGACCTAGGAGATGTTTATGGACAACATCGGCTCTTCAGCTTAGAAATGGAGATGAACACCACCCCCCAGAGTTTGACACAACTAGACTTAATGTCAAGGGAAAACGTTTACCTACCTAATGTATATTATAGCACCATGTACTATTCTTGAAGTCAAACTGGAATAATTTCCGTTCAGACATGAGAGAAGGCCATTGTATCCGTCAGTACATTAGTTCAGTCAAATGCTGCAGCATTTGTCTGCTGTGCATGGTATATCTTATACTATATTGTTCTTTCTATTCCTTTTAATAAAGCGTGTACAGGCCAAAAAAGGCTTAAAGATGCCCAAGGAGGTGGTCCCTCAAAAAAGCAGAAAAGAAGTCACAAAACATCTGTAGTGAACAACAAAAAGAAGAGCAAAAGTGGTAAGTATGGCCACTCAAAAGAGAGAACAGTTGATGTGACTCTTCCCTGTAAACTATTGTTCTGTCCAAAATTGGCTAAAGTTCCATCCACCTATGCCAAGTTTCTGGTCCAGTGGAATGTGAGACAGGTAGATTTTGCTTCTTCTTTATAAGTTGGGTGAGTGATCAGAATAGTATAGAATTTGACACTGATCTTTGTAGTGTCTGATAAAAATAAGTGAAACTCTTACACACTCATACATCTTCTATCATCTGAAATGTTGGAGTGCTCCTTTTAGAATGTTCCTATTACTGTTAACAAAGAATTACTAATGTGAAGCAATTAGTCTCCCCACATAGAATTTTCAAACATTTTTCTTGGCTCAACATACCTGTATTTTACCAGGAAGTCCATGATAGAGAAGATCTGTATCTGAAATGTGAATGGCTGGCTGTTGTAGCTATTCCGGTTTTGTAGTATGATATCAAAAAAGTTTTCGTGCACCAGTTTTATTACCCACATTTACCCATTTGCCTTCTTTACAACTTGAGTGCATTCTGCATTATTATTTAAGTAACCAATTTGTGGACCTTACATGTAGAATATTAACCCAGAGAACAATTTTGTGAAATGGTTAAGATTGTATGATAGCACTGCCAAACTTAAAAAGATTGCCTATTGCCTTTTCCCAAGTGCCAAGTGCCAAGTAACATCATCTCTGCAGAAACAAGCCTAAGTTTTCTCTTCCTTCTGGCTACTGAAGTTTGCCATTCAATGTTTGTTAGAGAATTGTTCTGTTATACAAGTGGCAATGTGTCTGGAGGTAAGGACTAGAACAGGTACTGAGGGTTTTAAGAATAACGTAAGTCTGTACAATATTCTTCTTCTTTTTAGCAGCAAACAGCAGTGACAGTGAAGACCTTTCTGCTGGTGAAAGTATCACTAAAACCCAATCAGCAAAATCAGTTGCTACAGGAATAAAGTCTCAGCATACCAAAACTCTGGCAAGAACACAGTCTCCAGGAAAATGTGGGAAAAATGGAGAGAAGGATTCAGATCTTAAGGACCAGAATACTCGTTTGCCAAAACTTTACAAATGGAGTTTTCAGATGTGTAAGTAAGGATTACTACCTCTATGGTAGCACACTATGTATGCCGTCTTTGGTGCCAACATAGGAGCTAGCTTTCATGTTGTACAGTATAAGTGTACTCAAGCCCACAAAAGTCTATGGCAAACATGGGAGCCGAGGACCACTGGCTCATCTTTTTCTTCCATTGTTAATGAAATCGCATTTGTATTTTTGTTTGCATTCCAAATCCCGATGAGTGATGTTTTACTAGAAATGGTATAGTGGGATTAAACATGTTGCTTTTTTCATATTCTTCTAATTGTCATTCTTGTGTCCTCCTTTATCAGGAAAAAGAATTACAAATTTCCTTTAAACTAATAACTATTGTTTTATATGCAGCTGACCTAGAAAACATGAACAGTGCGGAGCGCATTGCAATCCTTCAAGAAAAACTTCAAGAAATCAGGAAACACTACCTGTCCTTGAAATCTGAAGTAGCTTCCATTGACAGACGAAGAAAGCGGTTGAAGAAAAAAGAGCGTGAAAGTAAGTAAAAAGACCTACATTTTGTTCCCATTCATTAAGAATGAACAGGGTTATTGCATTTGGAATGTGACTCTTATATATCTTTTTTAAAAGTTGGCCTTGCTATGCGAATCTTGGGTGTATCCTTGAGCCTTGGAAATAAGTGCAATTAAGTTTCCAGGTTGCCAATATCTTTTCTTTTAGCAAATCAAGCATTTTAGGATTAATAACTATGCATAAGATTGCAATGCAAATGTACCATATTTCATTGCAAAATAGTCACATTTTTCCTTTTTTTTTAAATCAAAAAGGGGGTGTGACTGTTATGTGTTGAAAAACATCTGCCTTCAATTCTCCTGTTTTTGTTTTAAATTTTTTAACGGCCTTACTTTTGAAAGGGAAGGAAGAGAATTGATGATCCAGCCTCAAACAAACAGCTTTGTTTCTGTTTGTTTAAAAAAATGCAGACCCATTTGGGGCTGATCCCCCCCCCTTACTTTCTCTGAAGGCAAGGGAGCTCTTTGGAGGAAGGAGGGAAGATCCAAGTTCCAGAGACCGCCATTTCATGTTTTTTAAACTACTTTGTCAAGGAGGAAGGAGTGAAGAGCAGAGCTCCAGAACCTCCATTTCATAGTTTATAAACTGCCTTCTCTTCAGAGAAAGAAGGAAGGGGAAATTAGCTTCAAATGGCGCTGCAACTATTATGCGAGGAACAAAAAAACCCACAAATTTTGCCACCCAGAAATGGGAGTGTGGCTCTTATGTGAAGAAATATGAGTATTTCAAATTGCTTAGAAAATAGCCATTGCAAAAGTGCATTACAAGTCACTATCTCAATTTCAGTAGCGGATTTCAAGGATATATTTTGCTCTGCTTTGCAGGTGCTGCTACGACATCGTCGTCCTCTTCCTCACCTTCCTCCAGTTCCATTACGGCGGCTGTTATGTTAAGTTTAGCGGAGCCCCCCATGTCGGGTTCATCCCAGAATGGAATGTCAGTGGAGTGCAGGTGACAGCGAGACTTGCCCAGGCACTTTGCACTTAATGGCTGCTGAGAGCCACTTTTTATTATGCACAGTGGCACAACATTCAGACAAGCACTATTTTGTATTTTTAAAAAAATTCTTGACAAGCAAACTTTGCACTTAAGTGCACTTTTATGAAGAAAAAGTACAACAGACTGCTTTTCCTCAAGCAATAATTGTTTCCAACGTGTCTGGGAATTGTATGTTGAGTGAGTTGAAGGCTTTCCACTGTGGCCAATGGAGGCTGTCCACTGCCACCACCAGAATCACCACCAGAAAGCATACAGTTGTTGGGTAGGCCTGGTTCATGTGTTAAAGTGGCTTACTGTTCACGTATTCCCTGGTGTTTTGTTAAAAGCTGGAGCATTTGATATTTTTCCATTATTTAGGAAAAAAATGAACCTATTTTCATTTTTACAAGGTAATTGTTTTTTAACCAAGTCACATTAACGTGGCTCTAACTGTACAAGTCAAGCACATGAAATTGAATTCCAAACCTGCCGTTCAATAGGATGTTTCTCATCAGACCTGACAACCAAAAATAAGGATTCTGTTTCAAAGGCAACTAATGTTTACAGGTTTGAATTAGGCTAAGTAGGTTGCTATGGGTTTTTAATAACCCATGAATTGGAATGAAACTACTGTACTTTGCCATTTTTCTACGAATCAGTATTTTTTTTAATTTTGATAAAAATACATTGTGAAAAAAGGAAGAAAATGGCTAACAAACTGTATTAAATCTTAATGTATAAAGATTGTATTTAGCCAGTTTAAAGTGTATATTTATTCATAATGAATTATAACACTTATATTTTTGTGTTTTCTTGTAAAAGTTTCTTTTCAGTTAAGGCAACAAATATTTCATTTGTATTGCTTATTTTATTATGAGCTTCAACTGAGAGGTCTTCAAGAAGGAGTGAGCTGTGTTAATATTAAGTCATGGTTGTGAAAGCAGCATTGCCACAGAAGACTAGTTGTTTATAATATAAATAGCTAACTGAGTGGTATAGAAGTTTTTTTTTTAATTGCCTTGTACAAAAGCAAAACTCAAAACTGTTTTCACTTCTATCAAATTTATGTTGTATGGATTCCAGGCCCTCTCTCGTTTGGCACTTGTATTTAATTACACAACTTTGTAAGACATTTGTATATTGCGAAAGTGTTCATTCAAGCTATTTAATACCTGGCACTGTTAATACACAGTACTTTATTGTACAGATTGTTTTACTGTTTTAATTGTAGTTCTGTGTACTTTTTTTGGCTGGGCTTACAGGGGCTGGCATGTTTTTTTTTTCTTTTCCTTTTCTGGCAATACAACCTGTAAGAATTTCAAACATTCTGTTTGTAGATGCTAGAGTGTCAGAATCTTTACATTTGACTTTTCTAAGAAAAGCATTTTTGGTCTTAGTAGTGTGCGCTTAAAGGTAACTGATTTTATTGAAAATGGTTTCAAGCTATTCAGATATGTACAGGACTGTAAAAATGTTGACAAACATTGGAGGAAAGGCATATAAAGTAAAGCTATAAAATATATATTAGGTTCCGCAGACAATGGAATTATGTAATATATTGTACAAATGTAAGCAAAGGCCTCTGAAATAAAATGCCATAGTTTGTGAATATTGGATTCTGTTTCTAACAGTTTAATGAAGGTATTTTATTGTATTCAAGAACTAAAAACTGAGTTTTGCAGATACATTTATTGTAACTTTTATTGTTAAGCCAAACAATCACATAATTTGTCTGATCCAAATTCAAGTTAATTCATTCCAGGCCAGGGAAGTGTTGTTCCGTTAGCTTCAATTGGGATTTGCCATAGTCCATTGACACCACTATTACTGGTTACTGAACCTACTTTCCCAGATTTTCAGGAAAATCCCAGGGGTCTTAGAGGTAAAACAAGGATCTTTATTTTGTGCTGTAGCTGCAGAAAAGTAATGAACAGACAAGGACTTCCTATCATTACTTATCTTTTTCAAAAAAGCGTAAGTAAGATGAAATTTTGCCACTCTTTCCAATTGTCATGCGTGGAGATATTATCTTTTTCTCAGTGTTTTCAGATATTCTAGAAAATTCTGGTGTTTATTTTCCCTGTTATTGGTTTGTGAGCCCAAATGTACAACGAAGTTTATTAATTAGTCCACTGACCATATCAACAGTAAAGACAAAACGAAAAAGTACATGAATAGACACTAATCACTATCCTAAGACTCCTGTAATAGTGAACTAACATACATTAGAATTTGATTAAGTTAAAAATTAAAAGTAATTAAAAATATCATCATTAAAATGCCACGGTAAAACTTCATACCACAAAAGTTAAAAACAAAGGTTAAAACAAAGATTAAAACAAAGGTTAAAATAAAGATTAAAATAGACCAGCTATTACACAATCCCAATCCAAATATCTGTGTCACCCCTACAGTCAGGCCCGTAGCCAGGATTTTGATTCGGGGGGAGGGGGCCTCAGGATCTATCCTAGCAAATCTTTTGTATCGTTATCCCAATGCCCCCATGCAGTCTTGGACAGCAATGGCTCCCAAAGTGACCCATTTAAGGTAGAATCAGGTGTCAAACAGGGATGTGTTATTGCCCCAACTTTATTCTCCATCTCCATCGCTATGATACTTCACCTTGTTGACGGGAAATGAGTGGAATTTCCACCGGAGTGGAAATCATCTATCGGACAGATGGCAAGCTGTTTAACCTCAGGAGACTGAAAGCCAAAACCAAGGTTACAACAACATCTGTTATAGAACTCCAGTATGCTGATGACAATGTCGTCTGTGCGCATTCAGAAGAAGATCTACAAGCCACTCTAAACACCTTCGCAGAAGCATACACGAAGCTCAGCCTGTCATTGAACATCGAGAAAACCAAAGTGCTCTTCCAGCAGTCACCAGCCAGTCCCTCTCCAATGCCAGAGATACAGCTTAATGGTGTAACATTAGAAAATGTTGATCATTTCCACTACCTTGGCAGCCACCTCTCCACCAAAGTCAACATCAACACCGAAATACAACTCCGCCTGAGCTCTGCGAGTGCAGCATTTTCCGAATGAAGCAGAGAGTGTTTGAGGACCGGGACATCCGTAGGGATACCAAGGTGCTTGTCTATAAAGCTATTGTCCTCCCAACCCTGCTATATGCCTGCGAGACGTGGACTGTCTACAGACGTCACATGCAACTCCTGGAACGATTCCATCAGCACTGTCTCCGGAAAATTCTGCAAATATCTTGGGAAGACAAGCGGACAAACGTCAGCATGCTGGAAGAAGCAAAGACCACCAGCATTGAAGCGATGGTCCTCTGCCATCAACTCCGCTGGACCGGCCACGTTGTCCGGATGCCTGACCACCGTCTCCCAAAGCAGTTGCTCTACTCTGAACTCAAGAATGGAAAATGGAATGTTGGACAGGAAAAGAGATTTAAAGATGGGCTCAAAGCAACCTTAAAAACTCTGGCATAGACACTAGAACTGGGAAGCCTGGCCTTGAGCTCCAGCTGGAGGTCAGCTGTGACCAGCAGTGCTGCAGAATTCAGAGAGGCACGAAGGGAGGGTGAAAGAGAGAAACGTGCCAGGAGGAAGGCGCGTCAAGCCAACCCCAACCGGGACCGCCTTTCTCCTGGAAACCAATGCCTTCACTGTGGGAGAAGATGCGGGTCAAGAATAGGGCTCCACAGCCACCTAAACCCACAAAAATAGTCATCAAGCAAGACCATCTTACTCGTCCAACGAGGAATCGCCTAAGTAAGTAAGTAAGCCCCCATGCATATGGCATATATTGAGCATGGTGATCAGATCATATGAATAAACATAACAGTTTAGATAATGTACCAGTAAGGCCTTCTCGAAGACCACCCTGAGAATTTCAGGGGGGGGGGTCTGAAGCCCCTCAGCCCCCCCCCCCTGCTACATGCCTGCCTACAGTTTATCCAAATATGCAGTTGCTTCCAAATATGCAGTTCTCAACTGCGTTGCTTTATGAAGAAAAAGGGCTTTTTGGTGTGTTATCTTAGCATTCTGGCCAACCATTAAAAATGTAGTTTTGATATGGGGATCCCAGTGAGTCTTCTGTGTAATGAATGGTCCGAGGTATTGATTTCTCTCTTGTACAAAATGCAACTAAACTACATGTGTAATATCCTCTACCTCTGTCGCCCCGCAGATACAGAATTGTTAGTTATATGGAACTTGGTTAAACCTTCCATGTTTAACCATTGTATCCATCTGTTCAAGTGAGGCCAAATGTAGTTCCAGTGCAATCAAGTATAATGTGGTGCTTACTCTCACCATCACCTAACGGGGTCTGCGTGTGTAGCTCTGATGCTACAAAAAGCACTCTCTATTTGTTCTATGGGGGCAAAATCAGCTGAAGTCCCCCTTCCTGACTATAACTAATCTGGAGGCATTATAAAACTTTATAATATGATAAAACAAAGACCTTGGTGGTCTCCCAACCTTGTACCTATCAGTGGCTTTTTTGAGGATAAACGTGCATTGCAAAAGGAGGAGACAGCTAGTTAGGCGATCCCTCATTGTCCGAGTAGGATTGTCTTCCAAGATCGGTGTACTGGCAGTGGGTCCGTAGATGACTGTGGAGCCTTATTCTTGACCTGCATGTTCTCCTGCAGTGAGGGCATTGGTTTCCAAATGGAAGGCAGTCCCGGTCGGTGTTGGCTTGATGCGCCTTCCACTTGGCACGTTTCTCTCTTTCACCCTCCATTTGTGCCTCTTCAAATTCTACAGCACTGTTGGTCACAGCTCACCTCCAGCTAGAGCATTCAACGGCCAGGGCTTCCCAGTTCTGTGTCTATGCCAGAATTTTTAAGGTTGGCTTTGAGCCCATCTTTAAATCTCTTTTCCTGCCCACCAACATTCCATTTTCCATTCTTGAGTTTGGAATAGAGCAACTGCTTTGGGAGACGGTGGTCGGGCATCCGGACAACATGGCTGGTCCAGCGGAGTTGATGGCGGAGGACCATCGCTTCAGTGCTGGTGGTCTTTGCTTCTTCCAGCGCGCTGACATTAGTCTGCTTGTCTTCCCAAGAGATTTGCAGGATTTTCAGAGGCAACGTTGATGGAATCGTTCCAGGAGTTGCATGTGACGTCTGTAGACAGTCTACGTCTCAAAGGCGTATAGCAGGGTTGGGAGGACAATAGCTTTATAAACAAGCACCTTGGTCCCCCTACGAATGTCCCAGTCCTCTGTGCTTCATTCGGAAGAATGCTGCACTCGCAGAGCTCAAGAGGTTGTATTTCAGTATCAATGTTGACTTTTGTGGAGAGGTGGCTGCCAAGGTAGCAGATATGGTCAATGTTTTCTAATGTTACACCATTAAGCTGTATTTCTGGCATGAGAGAAGGATTGGCTGGTGACTACTGGAAGAGCACTTTGGTTTTCTCAATATTCAATGACAGGCCGAGCTTCTTGTATGCTTCTGCGAAGGTGTTTAGAATGGCTTGTAGGCCTTCTTCTGAATGCACACAGACGGCATTGTCATCAGCATATTGGAGTTCTATAACAGATGTAACCTTGGTTTTGGCTGATGTCCAGGCCAAATAGTGAGCAGACTAAAAGTGAATCCTGCAAAAACTGAAATACTCTGGCCCGGCCAGCCGCCAGAATTAATCCAGTCTCTGCCTGATTTTGATGGGGAAGTTCTTGCTCTGTCTGCCACTGTTAAAAGCTTTGGGGTTGTGTTGGACTCAATGCTGACGATGGAGGCCCAGATCACTGCCATAAGTAAGCAGGCCTTTTTTCATCTTCGCCAGGCAAGGAAATTGGCATCCTACCTTTCAGTAGAAGCATTGGCAACGGTAATCCACGCAACAGTCACCACTAAGTTGGATTATTGCAATGCCTTATATGCCGGCCTTCCAAAGTCAACAACCCAGATGGCCCAAAATGCCGCGGCTAGGCTGCTAGCGGGATCATCTATAAGATCCCATATTACACCGATTCTGCAACAACTTCATTGGCTACCAGTAGGACATCGGATCTTTTACAAGATACTGATCCTGACATTTAGAGCTCAAAATGGCCAAGGATCTTTATATCTTGGGGACCGCCTTATTCCTTTTCTCCATCAGTGGTCACCTCGATCCACCCAGGAAAATCTCCTATACATACCAGGCCCTAGGGAGGTACACCTGGAAGCTACAAGGCGTGTAGAGCTTTTTCGACCTATGTTCCAATTCTGTGGAATTCACTGCCTCCATATGTTAGAGCAATGTTGGAGTTGCAACCTTTTGTAAAAGCGCTCAAGACTTGGCTGTTTGGTTGTGCATTTAAGTAATCAGATCAAATTTGCCAAATAATCACTGCTAAAGGTTTTTATGTTGAATGTTTTATATTGTGAAATGCTATTTTAAATTGTAAATTGCTCAGAGCACCTTGATGGAGAGCGACTAATTAAGAAATAAAGTGAAGTGAAATACAGGCAGTCCCCGAATTACAGACATCTGACTTCCAAATGACTCATAGTTAAGAACAGGGATGAGGCAACAGGAAGTGAGAGAAATCTACCCCTAGGAAGGGAAACCTGCTCCTGAAAGAGTTATCATGGGATAAAGGTGTCTTCACTGAAGCTTTATCACCAATCCTTGTTTGCACAACA